CAGAGGACCCCAGTCTGAGAAAGCAGCTGCAGCGTTTATCCACCGTTCGCTCTCTCAGAATGAAAAAAAAAAAAAAAAAAAAAAATATTCTGAGAATGACACAAGTAGAGAATATGTGGGTTTAGTTTATGCATAATTTTGCTCGGGAACACTTTACCCGAGTACTCGATACTTAACAGCTAATTAAAGATGCAGTCAGTGATTTTTCCAGACGCATTATTATTTTATCTTGTGGGAAAACGTCCCTAAACCCTAACAGTACTCAAGTTATCATGTGTTTTCAAATAGTAATGGAATTGACCATGCATATAGTCTCCAAAGATTAATAAAAAGTATTTTGGAGCGAACCGATAAAAATGAACCAATGGGATTCGTTCATTCCCAACGAACCAATGGGATGTGTTTACCCCCTTTCACTCTCTTCCTGTTTCTCACGAGTGCATCTGAGTTATCGGATTTTCTAAAACCTTAAATGACTGAACAGAAAATGCCAATTTCACGTTTGCTCCACTCTTCCGGTTGTGACAAAGAAAAGAAAATGCTGGATGTTTGGTTTGGTGGAGAGGCGAGGGAAGGGGGGAGGGGTTTTGAGTTGGTGCGACGGCCAAGCTAACAAAATGGCTTACTGCAACTGCTAATAAGTATAATTTGTGGTTAATTACCTGTTATTTGGTCATTATTAATCATGTATTAGTCCTTATTCCACATGGCCTTCTTAAACATCTAACTAACTTCTGACTGACACTTTCCCACGAAACTGGTTCTAACTGGTTCTCAAAACAGTTCAATCACTTCTAGGTTAAGGTTTTTGAACTAAAGATTGTGATTTTTAAGACGCACAACAATAACTGGAGTATTATCTAGTGCATCTATGATTGATTGGTTACGTTTGGAATTTATTTTATTTTAGGTTGAATTCTGTACATTTGTCGCAGTGTCTTTTAAGTATTCAGTGTTCGCCCAGTTCTTACTTTGGCCAAACACTCTTACTATAAATATATTTCTCAGCTCTGTTACTTTGCTGCTAGTGTCCAGGTCAGGGCTGTCTCCCCCCCTCACCCCCACTCCTCCCCCTCCTCCCCCCTCTTTAAGCAGACTGACACACATCCGTCACCGCCTCAGTCCTTTGAAGTCGAACCAGTGAAGAATTGTTTCTTTCCAGTTCACTTTTATGTTTCCCAAATGTCACAGGAGCAAAAATGTGTCTGTGTGTGTGTGTGTGTCTGTCTGTGTGTCTCTGTCTGTCTGTGTGTGTGCATGTGCGTGTGCGTGTGCGTCTGTGTCTGTGTCTGTGTGTGTGTCTCTGTCTGTGTGTCTGTGTGTGTGTGTGTGTGTATGTGTGTATGTGTGTATGTGTGTATGTGTGTCTGTGTCTGTGTGTGTGTGTGTGTGTGTGTGTGTGTGTGTGTGTCTGTCTGTGTGTCTCTGTCTGTCTGTGTGTCTGTGTGTGTGCATGTGCGTGTGCGTGTGCGTCTGTGTCTGTGTCTGTGTGTGTGTCTCTGTCTGTGTGTCTGTGTGTGTGTGTGTGTGTATGTGTGTATGTGTGTATGTGTGTCTGTGTTGTGTGTGTGTGTGTGTGTGTGTGTGTGTGTGTGTCTGTGTATATGTGTGTGTGTGTGTGTGAATATGTGTGTGTGTGTGTGTGTGTGTGTCTGTGTATATGTGTGTGTGTGTGTGTGTGAATATGTGTGTGTGTCTGTGTGTGTCTGCTCCTGTGGGAGTCTTGGTCCTGCATTTGACCCGGAGTTTACTGTCTCTGTGGATCGACTGAAGCAGAGAGACAGAAATCAAGGCTCAGGTGTGAAAGAAAATCTATAACAAACTGGAATCTTTTCTGTGCATTTGTTTGAGCGTTTTAAATCGTGAAACATCGTGAAACATCGTGAAACATCGTGAAACATCGTGAAACATCGTGAAACATCGTGAAACATCGTCAATAGACAGAGCACAGACTTAGTGGCATTGAGGTAATTACAGATTCTTTTGATTGATTGAATAGCTTATTAGAGATCACTAAAGATGGGATTTTTGTACATTTTCTTGTCAATCATCGTCCCTTACATGCTACATTTACAAAACTGGGAACAAAAAACAATCTACACCAAGTTTGTTGTCTTGTTTAAGTCTGACCTGAGTCTTAGCTAACCATATGCTGACTGAAAGAGGGCTGTTTTGAGCCTGGCCTTGAATACAGAGACCGTGTCTGCTTCCATAGGAGCTTGGTAGCGAAATGCTCTGCCTCCATCTGTAAAACTAACTTTATAGTCAAATGTGTAAAAGTGAGCTTAAATACAAATAACAGCTGTGTAAATGCTTGCTTTAAGAAAATACAACAATTAAGAAATACAAACACAATCATATTCTGACAGCAATAGATCCAGTATAATGTTAGTATCAGTGTTCCAGAGCTTCAGCACCACGGACAGCTCCACTCATCACTGCAGCGCATGGATCTATTATAATAACTGGATAGGATATTACTAGCTTGGAGCTGAAGGAACTATGTGCTCGGGGGATTCTCGCGGTCCTGCAGACTAAACCAGAGTAAATTCACGTGGGCTACCCAGAAATTGTCCCCATAGAACTCAATGTAAATTAAAACAGCTTGACCTCAGCTGACAGAGAACCTACAGCTTTCATAAAGGTCGGCTTTTGTGGGGATTTTAGTGTCCCTTGTCATCCTGAACTTTTTTTTCCTTTTTGCCTTCGGTTTTCTTTAAAATCCACACTTTAGTGCCACAAACTCTGCTAGTCTGGCTCCCGCTCTGACTCCGCTCTAGCTCACCTCTAATCAGCAGTTCTGATTGGTCAGAGCGCGGCCGAGATCCTCTGCGCACGAGCATGAGACCCACACACACGTATTTGGCGCAACGCATCATGGGAGCTCGTCCACTGCACAGAACCGGGAGGACAAGACCATGCCCAAATATAGCGAGTGATATGGCGAGTTCAGCTAATATGTCAGCGACCGTCCCACCACATGCGCCACTGAGCACAAACCATTTATTTGAATACGCCGCCATCTTGGATTGCCAGGGCTTGGTGCAGCACTGTCTTCTTCTTTTCATACCATATTAACTGAATGTGTTGTGGATCTTAGAAAGAGCAGAAAGTAAAAGCTTGTGTTTTCGTTCCAGCTCAGGGAAAATGACTGAATACTGCACCTGTTTACGACCAGAACAAACACACACACACACACACACAATACGGTCTCTACTTTACCTGAACAGATGAGCAGTGAATTGCAAAGTGCCCTGTGGAGGAATCCTGGGGAAATATATTTTACATTTATAAACGATGCCTGTCCTGTGCTACATACTCTCACGCTGCACTACTCAGCTAAACTACAGACCCCCTGAGAAGCAAGGACCTGCAGACACATGATTTTCAATGTTCAAAAAGGTCCACTTATTTCATATATTTGACTTACTCCCCAGTCAACATACTAATCTAAATCAAAGCTGTTGAATTAATTTTGTTTAGTTTGGGTTGAGTAAAAAAATCTAGGAACTGATCTGAGGCCGAGAGAACAGAAGGGATTTCCTTTTCTTAAAATATTTTTTTTTACATTAAAGGAGCTACAGTATACCCGTTTCTGCAAGGTTTGAATGTTTAGGAGAACCGCTAGTTCCTCGTCCAAATGTAGTCCGAGCGTAGATAGTCCGAGCATAGATAATCCGAGCATAGATAGTCCGAGCATAGATAGTCCGAGCATAGATAGTCCGAGCATAGATAGTCCGAGCATAGATAGTCCGAGCATAGATAGTCCGAGCATTGATAGTCCGAGCATAGATAATCCGAGCATAGATAGTCCGAGCGTAGATAGCCCGAGCATAGATAGCCCGAGCATAGATAGCCCGAGCATAGATAATCCGAGCATAGATAGTCCGAGCATAGATAGTCCGAGCATAGATAGTCCGAGCATAGATAGTCCGAGCATAGATAGTCCGAGCATTGATAGTCCGAGCATAGATAATCCGAGCATAGATAGTCCGAGCGTAGATAGCCCGAGCATAGATAGCCCGAGCATAGATAATCCGAGCATAGATAGTCCGAGCGTAGATAGCCCGAGCATAGATAATCCGAGCATAGATAGTCCGAGCGTAGATAGCCCGAGCATAGATAGTCCGAGCATAGATAGTCCGAGCATAGATAGTCCGAGCATAGATAGTCCGAGCATAGATAATCCGAGCATATAGTCCGAGCATAGATAGTCCGAGCATAGATAGTCCGAGCATAGATAGTCCGAGCGTAGATAGTCCGAGCGTAGATAGTCCGAGCGTAGAAAGTCCGAGGCGGTCCCGCAGGTCTCTCCCATAGACAAGTCTCTCCAGAAGATACGATGTAAGCTAGCTATGTTCACTCTGGCTTGATTTCTTCTTTGATCATTTTTTGGCTTTAGTTCCCTCTTCTCTTCCTCACTGTTGCGTCGTTTGGGCTGTTTTGCTGTGTCTGCAGTTCCAGCAAGAGAAGGTATATAGCCAATTCTGCTAACATGCTACTGTGTTTAGCAGCGCTGTAGAGGCTCCGAGTGATTGGAGCAGAGCGGGCGTCACGCTAAAGTCTCTACTCAGCACTTTTTACGGCCTGAATTCATACACAGCTGAATCCATGAGCTCAAGTTTTCCATTAAATTACGGATTATTGTATGTAGTAATAAGCATTTTTATGAACTCATTAAAAAAGAAAATCAGGTATAGCGTCTTTAAGGCGGTGTTCAGACGTGACTTTAATATGACAAACTGTTGTTTTCGGGTTGATTTTGCTGAAAACAAAAAGTGTTTATTGTTTAGATTTAAAGTATAACACATTGTTTTATATTTAACCATTTAACTTGTGTTTGGGTTAAAATGTTAAAATACAGAAAATGGAGACAGTAGATTCAATATTAAATGCCTTGGATAAACATCAATGCTGCAAATGTATTAATGATCATTGAAAATCCGATAATTTGGCCCACAAGCCTGAGGTTGACAAGTCTGCTCGAAACCAATGATGTTTCAACAGAAGGTTCTCAAACAGGTTCTCAAACATTCACAACATTCAGGACACTCAGCTGCTCTCGCTCCCAAAGTGCCGTAAAGAAACTGAACTCTTCCTGATCCTTGTGAATAATTATGACCCTGTCTCTCCTCTTCAGCCTCCTGCTCTTTACCCTCCTCCTCTTCCGCCTTCTCCTTTTTACCCTCCTCCTCTTCAGCCTCCTCCTCTCCTGCCTCCTCCTCTTCAGAATCCTCCTCTTCAGCATCTTTCTCTTTACCCTCCTCCTCTTCAGCCTCCTCCTTTTTACCCTCTTCCTCTTCAGCCTCCTCCTCTCCTGCCTCCTCCTCTTCAGCCTTCTCCCCTCCTGCCACCTCCTCTTCAGCCTCCTCCTTTTTACCCTCCTCCTCTTCAGTCTCCTCCTCTTCAGCCTTCTCCTCTCCTAGCTCCTGCTCTCAGCCTGACAGACAGTGCTCAGGGAAAAGTGTGGTCTTCACATATGTCTGAGCTGAGACTGCAGTGGACCTCGCTCAGACACAGGAGCAGAGAGGTCAGAGGTCATGTCAGCAGGGTCCTCAGGGCCTCCTCACACCAGGACCATCTGAACATCTGTTAATCTCTAAAGATCTCGACATTCTTGGTTTGCACAAGTCGCTGTTCGATGAGAATTAGCTCCAGCAGCAACACAAGGCTAACAGTCTCACACACATGCTTACATATGTATCAGATATTGTTAAAGGATGCAGACGAATCCAGCTGGGAGCATAATATCTGAATAAACAAGAGTTTTGTCAACAACAAATCTATAACCAACACTTTTTTATTCCTTGTTTTGTTCTTTAATGATTTGAGAGTCATAACAAGACCATTATTAGTTCTGAGGCCACATGTTACTATAGCAGTGAGATTTGCCGCAGTGAGTTCTGGCAACAAGGATCACAGACTTTCTGATTGGTGAACGGTGGAGGGCGGGACATCGAAATGAAAACGATTTATATGCATGTGTATATGTATCCGATTATTAACATTGTCCTTTACACTGTTTGACTGGTTTGACGCTAAACTGCTTTTTGTGGCATTGTTCTGACTTTGTAATTAAATAAAGGTGAATCTAATCTCATCGACTAAATCAGGGGAGTTCTCTCTTTTTCACTTTTCTGTCTGAAAACGTCGTCTTACCAAGTATACCTTCACGAGATACGTCCAAACTCAGGCCCGTGGGCCAAAAGCGGCCCTCTGTGTCATGTTATCTTGCCCTCTGCCTCGCTAACATAGACACCAGTTCACAGTGTCATACTGCCAACTTCAGCTCTACCAATATATGTATGTTATATATGTTTGGGCAGCTTGTTTTTTGTTTATTTGCACAAAATTGAGTTGATGATGTAGCAAATGTCAACCTTGTTAAAGCTGATTTTAAAACCGGGCATCAGCCCCTGGACCAGTCTGGGTTTAAGAGGAGCTCGAGACTGTGCATGGAGTTTATGGCTTATCATATTTTTGGGTGATTTGAAAATTAGGTTCCCCAGTATCAAAAGCTCATCTCAGACTTTGTTTCATGATCACAACACTTTGAGTCTTGTGTAAAAGCCACAGGTTTGGAATGTCTGCCCTTTTCTTTACAAAGAGAAAGAGAAAAGAGAGAAAAAAGAAACATAATAAACTCTAAACTCCACTTCAGAGACGACCTTCAAACTGCACTTCACTGACGACTTTTAACGAGAGAATTGTATTGTTCTCTTGTCAGACACAGATTAGACAAACCTGCAGGTGAGAGCCAGCCCCTGTCAGGCCTCTGAAGCTAAGCAGGACAGGACCTGGTTCGTACGGTGATGGGAGACCTCAGGGAACAGTAGGTGCCACAGTGGGGCGGCTGCAGCTGTAAAGTGCCAAACTGTTGTGTCCTTAGGCAAGACACTTCACCCACATTAGAATGAGCCTGGTGTGTGTGTGAATGGTTGGTGGTGGTGGGAGGGGCCGATGGGACATACTGGTTGCCAATGCATTATTATTATTACTAATAATATTAGATTAGCCCCGCCCATTCTCACCTCACTGAAGGGGGCAGTGGTACTCAAGGTGGCAGTCCCCTCTCTCTTTCTCCCTATCTCTCTCGTTCTCCCTCTCTGCCTCTCTCTTTCTCTCCTTTTCCATATATCTCTCCCTCCTTCTTACTCTCCCTCTCTCTGGTCTCTCTACCTCTGCCCCGCCTTTCTCTCCATCCCTCTCTCTCTCTCCCTCCCTCCATCTCTCTCTCTCTCACCCTCTCTCCCTTCTTCTCGATGTCTCTCTCATTCTCCCTCTCTCTCTCCTTCCTTCCATTCCATCCCTCTTCCTCTGGTCTCTCTCTCCCTCTCTCTCTCTCACTGTCTCACTCTCTCTCCCTCTCCCCCTCCCTCCCCCTCCCCCTCCTGCAGGTACCTGGTGTTCCTTATGGCCTTCAGAGCAAAGTAAAACCGATCCGTTTCCACACAGACTTTTATGAGTCCGTGGAAGAAAACAGTTCAATAAGAGACGGTCTGCGGCTCCGAGAACTCACATAACCAAGGTTTCCAGCTGCAGATATAATAACATAGAAAAGAAATAGGGCCACGGCGCAAAGAGGCCAAACATATACAGTTGTGTGCTTCAGGGAGGATGGTTGCATAGACACAGAAACACACACAGACACAGAAAAACTCACACAAAAACATACAAAAATCAAACAAACTCGCCGCTTTTGTATACAATTGTGAATCCTCAAACTGTGACGTTATTTCAGATGCTGTTATCTATCAACTCTGTGGGAAAGAAGCCATTTTTGCAAAGAAATTCCTGAAACCATAGTAAGTCATTTAAGTCTATTCTCTGAGCCACAGGTGCAGAGACCTGAGACCAGGACTAATGTGATGGTACTTCCTGGTTCTAGCCTCCTACAGCTCGTGTGGAGAGACCAGTGAGCTGCAGGTAAAGTTACAAAGTTAGAAAACTTACTGACAAATCCATGGATAAGAATCTCCAAGTCAGCTTTAGACACCACATTTTCAAACCTGCCGATGTTTTTAGATGTAAAAAACCGGCTGAAGTTACTGATTTGATTTTTGTTGTTAAGATTGAAGTCCGTTATACTACCCCTGGATTTCTGACCTGGCACAAAAACACATATTTACTTGACACGGTTAAAGAGGCCCAAACAGAGCAGAGGGGAACTCCGTGGAGAGAACTGCTGGCTCCAGATCATGTGAAACCTCTTTAATATTGTATCAGCTCTGCTTTCTCGTACACTGTGTCCCCCAGACTGTTCTCTCTCAGGCTCTCGGCTGCACTGAATTTGAGAGAATGGAAAAAAATCACTGAACGAGAGGCTTTTTTTGGACCAGAGGACGATGAGAAAAACGGCGAAATGAAAGCTCTTTGTGAAAACGCTCGATGATGTCAGCTGTCGAGTCAAACAGTTATGAATAAATGACTCGTGTAATCACAGAGAAGTCGCTTAATGAGATTTTAATATTGTAATTCATCATCAAAAAACAGAATGAGATTTTTGAACCAATAATATCAGACACTGCATGGTCTCTGTGGTACTTCCTGATTCAGATTCAGCGATTGTGATTCAAGGCAAGAATATCCAGGGTTTGATTCCACCTTTAGGCCTTTCTGTGTGGAATTTGCATGTTCTCCCCGTGTCTGTGTAGGTTTTCTCCAGGCGTTCCGGTGCATTGTAAACATGTACAATAGGTCTGACATGTTTCTCCAGTATGACCACCTGTACCATGTCTGTGTGGAGTCAGAGGCACATTTCCGAGACGATCGTAGAGCGCTCTGTGATTCTGGTCTCTGAAAGGCGCTGTATAAATAAATATTACCTAAGTTTTGGAAGTAAGGCTTCTTATGAGGTTCAAACCAAGGTATTTGTCGTAGCTAGTGTTAAGGAAGTTTCTACCCAATGAAGGAGAAAACTCAAAAGGTCTTTGTCTTATCAAAAGCGTAAGTTTATTATACACACATGCGGAGAGCCAGCATATACACACAAAGGCAGCATGTACCAGCTCTGGGCGCAGAGCCCCAAGTTTCCTGTATACAAGACACACACGAAAGCCAGTCCCGCCCACAACAGATGGGAGGGGGCCACCGGTGAGGAGGCGCATGGGGAGCGTTGGCGCCGTCTGGGATGGAGGTGCGAACAGACAGACAATGGTAGAAATGCAGGTCATACAGATGCAAGACGCGAAAGACACAAGGGTGTGACAGACAGCAGGATGTAGAAAATGCACACATACAGACCGATAGATATGCAAGAGGCGAAAGGGGGGACAGTGATTTGCGCCATTGTCTGTAGGTGTCGGGGGGCCCGGCTCCTTCCTGGAGCAGGGACATATGAATAGAAACAGGCAGGGTTGCTCCTTCCTGGAGCAGGGACATATGAATAGAAACAGGCAGGGTTGCATGAATACTAGTCGCTTGCCATCACACTAGTTACTAAACTGGTAGAATTTGACAATATTAATTCATTGACTGTCAGCCATTTTTGATGATTTCACTGACTTTCAAGACCCACAGAATATTGTGTGCTGTGACTCTGAAAAATATGAAACCAGATTCAGAAAGATTGGACCGTCTACTTTCATCAGCAAAAATACGTTGGTGTCTAGCTAGTTTTGTTTAGCTGTAATCTTCAGTCGAATAGAGAGAAGTTTGACAGAAGTCTCAGCCAAATACATCCACAGCAGTCAATGAGTTAATCGTGGTCATTTCATTTTGGGACTATGGCACTTAAGATATGATAGACTTTATTGATGTCACACATGATTCAGTATGTCTACATTCAGATTGTGCAAAAGGACAGAAGTGTGCAGCCAATGGAAGGCTTTTCTCAGGAGCAAAAGGCAAACAATGGTAGCTTTGTGACTCTGGTCTGTGAAAGGCGCTACATGAATAAATATGACTTACTTTTTTACTAATCAGGAAGAACCAGGTCTACACTGCAAAAAGAGATGAAAAAAAAAGTCATAAAGGTTTCAAATTTGGTACAATGTGTCTTAATTTGAGAACATTATGACTGTGCCTTAAAACTAGATTCCCCAGTGGGACAACGCAAAATGATCTTGTTGTAAAAAGATACAGAAATGTCTCCCTTGGAATGAGAAAGTAATTAAAACTAAATGTCTTTGTCCCACTGGAGAATCTAGTTTAACACAGAATGTTTCAGATTAAGACAAAAAAACGCTTGATTCAAACAATTATTACCCGATATTATATCATTTTTTGCAGTGTATGTTTTTTAAACGACAACTATCACAGACCTCCTGCTGGGAGGCAAAAAGACAATTTTGTAAATACATTTGGACCATTATTCAGATTGTAAATGTTCAGCACGTGTTATATTTGTATTTTGTCCATGAGTCCAAACAGAGAAACTCAGACGCTGCTGTTGTTTGCATCAGTTCTTTCCTCGTCTGAAGCTCGCTTTGCACTTTTTTGGGTCTGTGTTTGTGGAAGTAGGTCATGGCAGTCGGATGCTGCTGGTGCTGTTGGTGCTGGTTCTGCTGGTGCTAGTGCTGTTGGTGCTGATGGTAAGTAATAATCTTTTATTTATATACCGTCTTTTCTCTGCACATCGGAGTCTCAAAGCGGTTTACAATTGTGATTTTTTTTTTGGGAGTGGGGGTGCCAGTACAGGAGGCACATGCCATACCTATTGTACATATTTTTAGTGGTAGGGGAAACCAGAGCACCCGGAGGAAACCTACGCAGACACGGGGAGAACATGCAAACTCCATTCAGAAAGGCCCTGGTCCAACCGGGATTCGAACCCAGGACCTTGCTGAGAGGCGAGACTGCTATCCACTCAGCCACCGTGCCGCCCCTGGTGCTGCTGATGCTGGTGTTGGTGTTGGTGTTGGTGCTGGTGCTGGTGCTGGTGCTAATGCTAATGCTAATGCTAATGCTAATGCTAATGCTAATGCTGGTGCTGTTGCTGGTGCTGCTGATGGTGCTGGTTGTCCTGGTGGTACTGGTGCCATAATCCTGGTCCGAAATGGCAGCCGGCTTTTCCCAAATCAAAGGGCGTGAGAGCGGAGGAGCCGGTGAGTCGGTGGTACCGGCAGAGAGCGGATCACACACAGGTCTTTAAAACAGTCTCGATCCGAATCCTCGCTTTGATCTCACAGTCAGCGGGTCTTCACAACAGAACAATGCTCTTTCAGTTGGAGTGGAGGCAGCAATACAACACTGACACTGAAAAAGATCAAATATGATGTAATTATTGCTTGAATCAAGTTGTTTTTTTTTTTTATCTTAGTCTGAAAAATTTCTGTGATAAAACAGGATTCTCCAATGGGACAAAGACTTTTAGTTTCTCATTTCCAGGGAGACATTTCTTGTACTTTTTTCCGTAAAACTAGATAATTTTTCTTTGTGTCATTGGTAATTCTTTCTTCATCCCTTGTGCTATCCTTGGGTCAAATGAACCCACCGAAGTGATTAGAAAATTACCCAAAATACTTTTTTGAGCTGAATCTTGCCTTGACCAGCCCTGGCTCAACCCTTACCCTGTTTTCTTCTACTTTTAGTAATTATGAACTGTTCCCACGAAAGCTTTTTCAGCATTTTACTTTTATAAGTCTGGATGGACGGAGATAGATCATTTAATTAAAAATAATTACATTAAAATAAACTACAGTATAAAAAGAGACAAAAAGTCACAAAGTTATCGAGATAAAAAAAGAGATAGAGAGAGAGAGACAGAGAGAGGGGAAGACACACAGAAAGACACGGAGAGAGACACAGAGACACACACAGAGAGACACAGAGAGATAGAGAGAGACACATAAAGAGACACAGATAGAGAGAGACAGAGAGACACAGACACAGAGAGACACAGACACAGAGAGACACACAGAGAGAGACAGAGAGAGAGAGACACAGAGAGAGAGACAGAGATAGAGACAGAGAGAGAGAGACACAGAGAGAGAGACAGAGATAGAGAGAGAGATAGAGAGACACAGAGAGAGAGACACAGATAGAGAGACACAGAGAGAGAGACACAGAGAGAGAGACACAGATAGAGAGACACAGAGAGAGACTAGAAAGAGAGAGAGACTTGAAATTCATTTATTTGCAAATGGCAAATAAGTGAATCTGAATCTGAATCTGAAGAAGGAGACTACAGAGAGAGAACAGAGAAACACAGAGCGAGAGAGAGGCAGAGATAGACAGAGATAGACAGTGATAGATAGATACTAGAGATAGATTCTTTCTCTATATAATTCCATTCAATTTACATTCACTGTATTATTGTATCGCCCTAAATCACAACAACAGTAGTTTTCTCTGAGGACTTTACAAAGCTGTCGATTCACCAACAACAGATCAGAGAATCAAACTGTTGACACACAAGAAACACATAGAGCCACTGGTCCATCCGGGACCAACACCAATGTCCATAAATGTGGTTGAATGAAGTGTCTCGGCTCCTCACCTGTCCAGTCCTCAGACCCTCCTGCACCCCCGAGTTTATTAGTATCTGAAATAATGTGTAGGATGTGAGTAATGACGTGTACACAGCTCTGCGTTCCCACTTTCCCACATCCCTCCTTCCTGCAGACGACCTCCTGCTGAGACCTTCTCCTTCTACAAAGACACCTCTCGTCGTTTGGATCGACCCAAACCGACTGTGAGTGACGGCAGCACACCCGCCTTCGCCTTCCTCTGGGCCCTGGCCTACATTATGTTTAACAGCCACGAGTAAACAGTCACTTCTGCTCCTCACGCCCCCCTACAGCGCTGGAGGACAAGTGCGCGCCGACTGGATTCATTAAAATAAAAACCGGTGTCGATGATAGTTTTATTTTGACTTTTATTTTTGAGAGCAGAGAGGAAGAAGAAGAAAAACTGATTAGTCAAGTGATTCAGTTCTGACGGGTGATTTTTATGGTGGAGTCTCTCTGGCCTCTTTCTGGTCTCTCTCTGGTCTCTCTCTGGTCTCTCTTTGGTCTCTCTTTGGTCTCTCTTTGGTCTCTCTTTGGTCTCTCTTTGGTCTCTCTTTGGTCTCTCTTTGGTCTCTCTTTGGTCTCTCTCTGGTCTCTCTCTGGTCTCTCTCTGGTCTCTCTTTGGTCTCTCTTTGGTCTCTCTCTGGTCTCTCTCTGGTCTCTCTCTGGTCTCTCTCTGGCCTCTCTCTGGTCTCTCTCTGGTCTCTCTCTGGCCTCTCTCTCTGGTGTCTCTCTGGCCGCTCTCTCTCTCTGGCCTCTCGCTTACCTCTCTCTGGTCTCTTTCTGGCCTCTCTCCAGTCTCTCTCTGGTCTCTCTCTGATCTCTCTCTGGTCTCCTTCTGGTCTTTCTCTCTGGGCTCTCTCTGGTCTCTGGTCTCTCCCTGCTCTCTCTGGTCTCTCTCTGGGCTCTCTCTGGTCTCTGGTCTCTCCCTGCTCTCTTTGGCCTCTCTCTGGCCTCTCTCTGGTCCCTCTATAATCTCTCTCTGGTCTCTCTCTGATCTCTCTCTTTCTCTTACTGACAGTGTGTGATGATGAAGAGTGTGTTGTCCTCGTTGGGAAATATAGATCCGGAGGATTAGCTGTTTGTGGAAACTGGAGTACAGATGGATTTAGAGAATATGGTTGGAGCTAAATAAAAACCTAGAAATTCCTGCTTTGAGTGATCCGTGACTCAGTGGTACAGATGGAGTTCAGTTGTTTACTGCTGTTTACTGTTTACTGTATGAAGACTTATGCACGATACATGGTGCATTAGTCTTCATACTATGGTCTTTCAAAAAGGATTTGCTTGTGGTTAAAACAAAACGAAATGTGGTGTTGCAATGACTGTTTGTAATTACTAAATTAGAAAAGTCTTGATTCTCTGAGATAGATAGATAGATCAGAGAGAGAGAGAGAAAGAGAGACCAGAGGGAGCAGAGAGAGAGAGAGACCAGAGAGAGACCAAAGAAAAGAGACCACAGAGCATAGAGCGAGACCAGAGAGAGAGAAACACCAGAGGATGGAGAGAAAGACTAGAGAGACCAGAGAAAGAGCAAGCAGAAAGAGAGAGAAACCCGAGAAAGAGAGACCAGGGGAGCAGAGAGAGAGCGACAAGAGAGAGAGACCAGGGAACAAGAAACCAGAGAGAGGGAGACCAGAAAAAGAGAGACCAGATATATATTGCATTTAAAAGCTGCACTTTTTGGGTTTTTCAAACAAAAGCCTGAAGCTGCAGAGAGACAAGCAGCAAATTTAGACTTTCAGCTTCACCTTTAAACCCTTTTGGGGGAGGAGTCAGAGATAAGGTTATGTTGATTATCTTAATTAAGACGAGCAGAAGAAGTTTTTTATCCTACTTTGAACTACTTCTGAATTGGAGGGTTAAAAGTTTTCCAAGAGGGCTTCTCCACCTCTGCTGCTGTGACCTGAAGACTTTAATAATAACGAATGATGTATTGATTTGTTTGTATGGCTGGATTTGTTATTTATCTACCTAGCTACCTAACCACCCACCCACTCACCTAACCAACCACCCACTCACCTAACCAACCACCCAACCACCTAAACCACCCACCCACCCACCTAACCAACCCTCACCCACCTAACCAACCACCCACCCACCTAACCAACCACCCACCCACCTAACCAACCACCCACTCACCTAACCAACCACCCACCTAACCAACCACCCACCCACCTAACCAACCACCCACCTAACCAACCACCCACCCACCTAACCAACCACCCACCTAACCAACCACCCACTCACCTAACCAACCACCCACTCACCTAACCAACCACCCACTCACCTAACCAACCACCCACTCACCTAACCAACCACCCACCTAACCAACCCCCCACCCACCTAAGCACCCACCCACTCACCTAACCAACCACCCACCTAACCAACCCCCCACCCACCTAACCAACCCCCCACCCACCTACCTAACCACCCACCCACCTAACCAAACTCCCACCCACCTAACCAACCACCCACCCACCTAACCAACCACCCACCTACCTAACCAAACTCCCACCCACCTAACCAAACTCCCACCCACCTAACCAACCACCCACCTAACCAACCACCCACCCACCTAACCAACCACCCACCTAACCAACCCCCCACCCACCTAACCAACCACCCACCCACCTAACCAAACTCCCACCCACCTAACCAAACTCCCACCCACCTAACCAACCCCCCACCCACCTAACCAACCACCCACCTAACCAACCCCCCACCCACCTAACCAACCACCCACCTACCTAACCAACCACCCACCTAACCAACCCCCCACCCACCTAACCAACCACCCACCTACCTAACCAACCACCCACCTAACCAACCCCCCACCCACCTAACCAACCACCCACTTAACCAACCACCCACCCACCTAACCAACCACCCACCCCACCTAACCAACCACCCACTCACCTAACCAACCACCCACCTAACCAACCACCCACCCACCTAACCAACCACCCACCTAACCAACCACCCACTCACCTAACCAACCACCCACCTAACCAACCCCCCACCCACCTAAGCACCCACCCACTCACCTAACCAACCACCCACCTAACCAACCCCCCACCCACCTAACCAACCCCCCACCCACCTACCTAACCACCCACCCACCTAACCAAACTCCCACCCACCTAACCAACCACCCACCCACCTAACCAACCACCCACCTAACCAACCACCCACTCACCTAACCAAACTCCCACCCACCTAACCAACCACCCACTCACCTAACCAACCACCCACCTAACCAACCACCCACTCACCTAACCAACCACCCACTCACCTAACCAACCACCCACCTACCTAACCAACCACCCACCTAACCAACCCCCCACCCACCTAACCAACCACCCACCTACCTAACCAACCACCCACCTAACCAACCCCCCACCCACCTAACCAACCACCCACCTACCTAACCAACCACCCACCTAACCAACCCCCCACCCACCTAACCAACCACCCACCTACCTAACCAACCACCCACCTAACCAACCCCCCACCCACCTAACCAACCACCCACTTAACCAACCACCCACCCACCTAACCAACCACCCACCCACCTAACCAACCACCCACTCACCTAACCAACCACCCACCTAACCAACCACCCACCCACCTAACCAACCACCCACCTAACCAACCACCCACTCACCTAACCAACCACCCACTCACCTAACCAACCACCCACCTAACCAACCCCCCACCCACCTAAGCACCCACCCACTCACCTAACCAACCACCCACCTAACCAACCCCCCACCCACCTAACCAACCCCCCACCCACCTACCTAACCACCCACCCACCTAACCAAACTCCCACCCACCTAACCAACCACCCACCCACCTAACCAACCACCCACCTAACCAACCACCCACTCACCTAACCAAACTCCCACCCACCTAACCAACCACCCACTCACCTAACCAACCACCCACCTAACCAACCACCCACCCACCTAACCACCCACCCACCTAACCAACCCCCCACCCACCTAACCAACCACCCACCTAACCAACCACCCACCCACCTAACCACCCACCCACCTAACCAACCCCCCACCCACCTAACCAACCACCCACTTAACCAACCAACCAACCATCCATCTAAACATTCTTCAACTTCAAAGTCTTATTCCCACGGATGAAACATAGATTTTGACATTTTAACCACATCCAAACGGCCTCATTAAATCCTCGTTACTCACAGAAACTTTGCCGGTGCTGTTTCCATGGTGACCTGCTACTTCCTGCTCCTGTGGTACAGTTTCTCACGGCTCAGTCCTGGGCTCTGTGCTCGGTGTCGGATCAGTGTGACACCAGCAGCGACCGGAGAGAATTCTGACAAAATGTGTGGCTGTGGAGCGGCGCAAATAAATGTAGAAATAAGCGTCAGGGTTGCGCAATACGTGACAAGAGGTCCCAGCATGCATTTCACCTCACAATCCGTGCACACAGCAGCCCACACTGTCATTGTAAACTAGATTCTCTGCTATGAAATGACAAGTTGCATAAAGTCTGTTTACTAAGGCTGGGAATGGGCGAAAATATGAGAATTAGATAGTTTTGCGATATTTAGGGCCATGATTCAATATTATTGCGCTTCTTAAGATATCGCGATACAGACACTTTTGTGATTCTGTGATATATTGTGAGTCATTTCTTTACAAACATGGAGGAAAACCAAACTCTTGTCTCTGTGACATTTTTATGGTCCGTACATGAACTGCAGCAAACACTGAGGCGGGAAGTGCAAAAACGTTATCCTCTCGCTCTGGTCTCTCTCTGGTCTCTCTCTGGTCTCTCTCTGGTCTCTCTCTGGTCTCTCTCTGGTCTCTCTCTGGTCTCTCTCTGGTCTCTCTCTGGTCTCTCTCTGATCTTTCTCTGGTCTCTCTCTCTGGTCTCTCTCTGGTCTCTCTTTGGTTTTCTTTGGTCTCTCTCTGACCTCTCATTCTTGTCGGCCTCTCTCCCTGGTCTCGCTCTGTTCTCTCTCGCTCTGTTCTCTCTCTCTAGTCTCTTGTGATATAAAACGGTTATGTAAAAATACTAGTACCTAAGCACACAGTAAACGCCTGCAGGGAAACAGAACATTAACAATTGCATTAATGATTCTCTCCAGAACATTCCAGCATCAGTCACACTGGGATCTGTCTGTTGTTTACGACGGGAGATCATTTTCAGTTATTTAGCAAAGAAATAATGTTATGAGTAAAATACAGCTGAGGGAGAACTGCATATTTCATGGTTCTGTCAAAGACCTCATGGTTTATTGAAGAGCTACGATACGAGCAGCGGGTCTGAGGAGAAGGTTCACTGAAGGAGATGGGAATTATATATTATATATATATTATATATATTATATTAATAATTATATTATTAATAAACACATCTGAGGACGGAGCGGGTTTAAGGTCTGGGACTGTTCTGCAGTTAAGGTTGTTTCCATCGGCTAGCTTTAGCCGCTACTCTGCACATTTTTAGTAACGCTTGGCCCTGGTTCTAACCGTGTAACTTTAAATACAGAAGAAAAAAAAACAGTTTATTGCAAGGCTAATGCTAACTGGTAGCTAATGCTAACTGGTAGCCAGTTAATACAAAATAATGATGTAGAAATAAACTACGAATATAAACTTAAAGTCAGACTCATGACACTTCCAAAGCCAACGATATTTCAAACATGGCTCCAACATCCAAAACTGTATCTGTGCATCTCTCCATCCATCCATTTTCTTCCCCTTAATCCATTTCTGGGTCGGGGGGTGGCAGTCAGAGCTGCACCCGGTCCACTTAGCACCAGCCCCTCACTGATCCTCCTGCAGGTGGTGAGTCCACAGAAGCTGAGATCTTTCAGTTGGGGCTTCAGGCAAAGTGGGGTTAAGTGTCTTGCCCAAGGACACAACGACAGCAGACATCAGTGGGAGTCGTGAAGTAGGTCTTATGGTGGGCTTGAACCCACGACCTTCAGGCCCAAAGGCCAATGCTCTACAAACTGCATCTCTAATGAATTGAAATGCTCTTTTCTGTAAAAACAAAAGTATTTCAATTCATCTCTAATGAATTGAAATACTTTTGTTTTTACAGAAAAGAGCATTTGGACAGAAGAGGCAGAGGGACAGGTTTATGTTCAGACGTTTTAAATGGAGATAAAAACAACACAACAAGCGATAAACTAATGTGATGTTTCAAGGTTCTGTAAGTCTGGGTCTGGGGCCAGACTCAGTCCGACAGGGGCCAAGTTTAAAACATGAGAGCTGGGGCCAAAGGAATCTTTTATTTTTCTATGTTTTATTATTTACATATTGTAATTGGAAAAAAATCATTTATTTCACATGAGTTTCATTATCCTTTTATAATAACTTTTAATTCAGTCATAACTGGGCCAAAGTTTAAACTATTAATTTTTCTTTGAAGATTCATAGAATCTTGGGCTGAACCTAACTTCTAATTACATGTTACTTAATATTTTAGAACACATTCAATTTTATGGTTGTTTTATGGTTGTCCAGAGACAAAAGGCTCAAACATGAAGTTTAACACGCCATAGTTCCCATTACCATCATTGCAGCAAGTTACTGTAATGAGGATGACTGAAAATCATTTCAGGGGCCGCTTAAAATGCTCTCTTGGGCCGGATGTGGCCCCTGGGCCTGAGCTGGACAGGTCTGCTCTAAGGGCTGTGAACATATGTGATTAATTCAGACAACATTATAAGTTCAAGTCTGGGACCTTGGATATTCACCACACACTGGTCTTGAAGGAAAGATTGTTTGAGAACGCGGAGGTCGACAGGGCTCGTTACGTTGTGGAGAAATCCATGTGAGGCCATCGACTCTGACGCTCTCTGAATTATGCAGACGGAGGAGAGCGAGGAAATGCTCAAGGTCACACTTCTATTCAGAGACGTTCCAACAAATCAGATCTATGTTTAGTTCAACTCGTCAAGTGTCGCCTGGAGAGAACACGCTTTGATGATAACATTTGAACACTTTAGATCTGAGTTCTGACCAGAGACGACTTAAACAACAGCCTGTGAAGAGAAAACTAAATGAAACCAATTTGTGGAGTTTCAGGAAAACCCCTCGAGACGCAGCATCTCATTTTTGAGAGGGTTCCGTGAACACAAACAGGCAATATACATAAAAAACATAAAAACAATTGCTACCACACACAGGACAGGTCCGCTCTCTCAGACAGCAGCAGGTAGAACTTCAAATCTACACACAGGAATAGATACAATTTAAAAAAAACAGCTAGAAACATGAGCAGGGAGTTGTAAGGTATAGATATTTCTGATTTAAATAAACCAAAAGAGGTGAAGGATCTTATAGATGTGAGTCACCTCCAATCAGATGGAGTATTGTCTGGAAATGATCATGAAACTGTCATATTTTCATGAATCATTAATTAAATAAATATTTCACGACCATATAAAGTCATAATCTGCATATTGTATGGGTACATTTAATTCCTACATAAACTTTGAGCCATTCTTATCATTCCTTTAATTTTTACAAAGCCTCTATCTTTTTTCACTTTTAATTAACAAAAAATGAAGATGAAAATGGACACTTTCGCATAAAAAAAACCCTCTGGTGTAAATGGATTCTTAAATGTACGTAATACACCCAGAATATATCAGTATTTTGGTGCATGACTCTTTGGGCTTTCCACGTCTAGATACTGAACAGTTTTGGTCAGTTTCTGAAGTGAAAGTTCTGGGAGCTGACGGAGCCGTTCTAAAACATTAACATACGTCATTTTAATAAACCGGGGGCCTCCAACCTGAAAACAATGAGCTGTTCCTTAAGACAGGTGAAAGAAAGTCATAGAAGAAAGCAAGACCTTAAACAAAATGTATTTCATTGGACCGGCAGCTTTAGTCTTTCTTACATCACATTCATGGATCGTAATTGAGATCTGAGCCAAGTCTGTCGTGAATCTTCGGGCTTTTTTGCAGTCCGTCCATACGTGCACATACAGCACTCTATCATAATGTATTATTGCACAAAAAGTGGCATTTTAGATAGTTGTGTATACTGTAATGTCAAAATGTTCACCTTATTTGTCAATTCTGAATCCTTTGGGGAGATTCTTGAAAAGGCGTGGCAAAATCGAGGCCCAAAACTAATTCTTTCAGACCGGCTTTTTTGTTTGATTGCATGAATGTTTTGATGGATTGATGTGGTTTTAGTGTAAAGCACTTTGTTCACTTTGAGAGTTGTAAAGGGCTCTATAAATAAAGTTTGGTCGATTGATTGAGCTACTGGCTAATCCCGAGCTGTAGGTGGGAGACTTCTGTTTTGAAGCGTTCCAAAGACTTGATGTTGGGGATTGGTCCTGATGGGAGAAGCATCCAGCCTTGAACCTTCTGCAGACTCCAACAGATTTTCTTCCTCAATTCGGGCGTTCTGCTCTCCCAAAATTCCATCCGATGGGCGGGGGAGCGACTGAATTTTGTGTTGCATTATGGGTAACACTTGCCTTCGCAACTTCCGGTTCTCTCTGCCCGGCGCATTTTCTCTAAATGGTTGAGTGTTTTCGTCATTTTCTGTATGCAAATATATTCCCGTCTCTAACTAGTGGCATATCGCGCAAATCATCCGTCCAATTCACATTCTTCCCTCTTAGCTGAACTTCATTCTCATTGTTACCATCTGTCACTCGCACACACAGCCGTTTTCGTTCACTCTGCTCGCTGTCATCTTCTTCTAAATCTTCATAAACACCATCCGCTCGTTGAACTAGCAACAACAATTCCTCCTTTCGTTTTCCCACACTGCAAATACCCTTTCGCTTCAACCTTTCACGCAATTCAGGCACTGTCAATCGTTTGTTGTTTTCGTGAGCCATATTCGCCATTGTATGAAATCAACCGGAAGTGAACTGGGCAACAAACGGTGTCATTTTTTGATCACAGCGCCGCTCAGTGGATGGAATTTTGGGAGAGCAGAACGCCCGAATTGTCCATCATTTTCACTGTCCGCCTTCACATCAACTCTGACACTCTCCTCTGCCCCTGTTGTTAACAAGCAGTCCCACAGCATGATGCTGCCACCGCCAGGGTTGGAGTCAGTGTGAGTAATGAGCAGTGTTAGTTTCCCCCACAGTTGTTTAAGTCTGACCACAGATCTGTTCTCCACAAGTTGCAACCTGTATGACTTTTTTTCACGTTTTTTCCCCTTCTATTTCCCACTCATACTGTATATAAAGTCCTGGTTTGTCTAGTATTTGTCT